CGACAATGAGATCAAGGAGTCCAAGGAGGCGATCGGTGCGCGCCTCATTCGACGGCTGTCGATGCGACCCACCGCCGAGGAGCTGGTCGAGCGCAACATTCTAAAAAGTGAGTAAAACTTGAAATCGAAATGAAATTTTGATTAAATTTCCGTTTTCATCTTCATTTCGCCAGCTCAATCACCCGCCGAGGAGAAGAAGCAAAAGGAGGAGAAGAAATCATATTTGCTGCGCAAGCTCAGCTTTCGGCCCACCGTCGAGGAGCTTAAGGAGAAGAAGATCATACGCTTCAACGACTACATTGAGGTGACGCAGGCCCACGACTACGATCGACGGGCGGACAAGCCATGGACAAGACTGACGCCAAAGGACAAGGCTGCCATACGCAAGGAGCTGAACGAGTTCAAGTCCTCCGAAATGGCAGTCCACGAGGGCAGTCGCCATCTGACGAGGTAATTAAACCCCACCACCAACACCACAACCACTGCCCACCACAATTCATTCCTGTCCTTGGCCACCGACCAGAAGCAAATTCAACAATTGAGCCAAGCGCACAAAATTGCCAAATGCCCAATGAAGTGTCACGTGCAGTGTTCACAGCCGCCGCTGACCAATCCCATGTCAAGCAGTGGCAGCTTCACATGTGCCACATGCCCCAATACTCCCCCACTTGCGCCCCATTGTTCGTGCTGCTGCCACAAAGGACTTTTGCGTTTGGTAACTGCATTTTGTCGTGGTCGTCGTATGTTTTTTTTTCTAGCTTGGCCGCTCCACATTTCTATTTCCATTTCCAGCTCTGCAGTGCGCAGTTTTTTCCTTTTCTTGCTGCCCGGCCTGGGTTTGTGGCGTTCAACTTTTATAATGGCTTTTGGATGCTGTGGCCGGCTCTTCGAGTCCTGCTTAAAGCCCCATGCGACATGTGGCCCCAAGCTTCACTTTAACTAAGCGCTTACCAGACTTTCCACTGCGGGGCGCCACAAATTAGACGAGCCAAATGCAAGGCATGGCAAATGGTCGCAAATTTAGCTGGCAGAGCTCCAGCCAAAGTAATAAAAGCGTTGCCAGACTGTGCGAACTTTTGTCAATGAACCAATGGAAAAAAGGCTAAATTTAATATGGAAATTTTGAAATAAGTTGCTGCACCATAGAGCAATTAAAACAATGAAGGCGTTGCCAGAAAGCTTAAATATTATATAGGTTAATGAAATATGGCAACAATTTGAGGTGCAGAGATTTAGTATTAGGTATTTAAATAATTTTAAATATTATAATAAGATAAAATAGATAAAGGCACATTTTTGAAAAGCCCTGTTTTATGTTTAAATATCTTTCAAGCTAGACTCCGTCCCGTCCAATCACATGCCACACAAACACACACACGAGATTAACGTTTTGCAACTGAAACTGAAACTAATCTGAACTTGTTTTTTGTACCTTTGCAGATTCCATAGGCCATGACGATTGCAATGGCAGCAACTTTCCAACAAACTACAACAACCCAAACAATTGTATTTTGTGCAGCAACCAATTGTCAACAAATATTTAAAAGCAAAACATTAAAAACATTAAACAAAAAAATCACAAAAAAAAAAAAAACAAAAAAAAGAGAAAATAAAAAATAAAAAGCGTTGAAACACAATAAGAAGAAAAAGTAATGCAAAAAAAAAAAATACAAATAAAATATAAAAAACAATTTTCAAATGGCAAGAAATAGTTAAACGAAGAAGAAGAAGCAGAAGAAGAGGAAGCAAATTAAATTGAACAGTTTTAATTATTAGGATCTTCTGTTAAATGCGAATTCCGCTTTGGTTTTCTAATTTTAAGTTCTATTCTGTACGTAGTATTTCCTGTGTTTAATACTTCAATTAAATATTCTTTTTGTTGATTGTGTGTAAATAAATTTTTTCGATACGTCCCTTCCCCTCCGCCTCCCACTCCCTTTTGGCAAAAATGCAAATCAAAATGTATGAAATTCGTCTTTTGTGTAGATGTTCTTAAGTCGATTTGTTAGCGCTTCAGTCAAGGCAATTATGTATTATATTATATAACAGAGAGCAAACATGTTTGAACTAAATTACATTAAACCTACAACAACAACAACAACAACAACAAAGTCAAGCACCACTAACAACAACAACAACAATTTCAATGAGAGAGAAATTCTTAAATTTTAAGCATAAATTTTACTTTTACTGCTGATTTCCATAAATTTTTAGATTTTCGAATTAAGAGAAATAAAAATAAAATACAAAAAGCAACAGACAACCGCAAATATTATTATAAATTAAACAAAATCAAATGCAAACAGCATACATATAAAATATATTTTTAAACTTATTATTATTGTATAAAGCTTAAACATTAAAAGTAGCGCAAGAGAAAACAAACCAACTACAAAAAAAAATTATTTAAAAATAAATTCAAACTTTTTGAAAGACATTCGCGCAAAAGATTCTTATTATTTCTTTCAGTTAACGTTGATTTAGTAATCCCCCCTTATGATTTGTATATATAACATGTACATACATATCGCCAAATTGCATAATACCTAAAGAAAAGGCCACGAACTAAGACGAAAGCACACATGTGAAACTCTAGAACACAGTGAAAAGGCAAAGCTAAGAAAAAACAGCTCAAATGATAAGTAAACCGAAGCAGCGGAGATTGATAACGTTTCTAATTAAATATGGCAACAAAATATCAGGAATAATAAACTGAAGCAAGTTGGACCCAGATTGATGATTTTTCTAGTGAAACACAACGTAACAATTTATAAAACGTAAGATTTTAGAAGCAGATGGAACCAAAATAAAAATAAAAACAAAAAGCAAAAAGAAACAAAAAATAAATCATCAACAAAAACGTTGCATGAAAATATCTATTTTGTAAAGCAAATTGCGAATAGTTACGAAACATTTAAAATGAGATACTGAAACTTTTACTCCAGCATTCAAATAGTTATGAATAATCCAAAAAGAAAATGAAAAACAAATTCCTAATTGTAAAAAAATTTGCAGAAATTAAAACAAAATAAAACAAAAATAAAATAAAATGAAAAACTAAATGCAAATTGAAATGCTCGCGCGTGCTCGTGAATATCTTAACTTAAAATGGTATGAAAATAAAAGTAAAAATAAAAAACAGTTTCAAAGGACATTTAGCATGAAGACAACTTCATGATTAAGCTCTAAAAATAATAATAAAAAAAAAAACAGAACGAAGCAAATGCGAACTTAGTTTAAAGATAAATTGGCGCTTCCTTTGCAAGTTTCATATTTCTAAAGCAAACAACTCACACAGACACAAACAATTTTAAATGAAAGAATACACAAAAAATAGACTAAAGTAAATGAGAAAACAAAAAACAAACTTGTTTCAGTGCAGTCGAACAAATTTGGCTCAGTTAGAGAAGCTTTTGCTTGATTTTGAGTGGCTCGGCCCAGAGTCCCTTGGCATCTGCTGGCCAACCGAAGCGATTTCTATATTGGCAACACTCTGTCTCTCCCAACTCTCTGTCTTTAGCTTCAAAGCGTTGCATTGTCAGAGTTAAGCAATATTAATTGCAACTAAATATATATATATATATATATACATATATATATAATATACATATACATTAAATATCTATACAAACTATATATAGTATATATGTATACAACTATTTATATGAGATGAGGAAGCAGCTGAAGCAGCAGTCGAAGCTATATACATATACAGCTATCAATATGGGATAGCATAATTTACACTTTTTCTATCGAGTCGATTTATAGTGTACTATAAAACCAGCAACAACATGATGAGCCCCCACGTTGATTGAGAGCCTACCTATCCATAACTAGCGACAAGTTTCGTTTTGTGTACAGCATTTCAAACTGTCCTTTCGAATTCTGTTAACAAAACTCTACCAAAAAAAAAAAAAAACTAACTAAAAACACAAATTTGCATTTGCCGTTGCAAAAAAAAATTAACAACAAATAAATGAAAATGAAATGTAGCAATAAATACGAACACCACAAGAAAACAAACAACAACAGCAGCCAGAGCCAGCAGCTATTAGCACTTGGTAAGATCTTAAGATTGGTCGCTTCAGAGCTAAAAAAAAATAAGAAAATCCAAAATGAAAAATGAAATTTGTAAACGCCTGCAGGAGGCTGCAGTCGTTGTGAAGATCTGCAAAGCGACACGTTAAGTAATTTAGCAAATTAAGCTTAGCAGAAAGAAAACACAGAATGAAATTGTATGAATAACAACAAACAACAAAAAAAGACAAAATGAATATTGAATAATAATCACCGACAAATTGAGATTTAATAAAGATTTAATTAATTACAAAAAAAAAAACGAATTTATAAGTTTGTTTCATTTAGTAATAGATGGGAAACTGAAAGAGATATAGAGAATAGCAAAAGTTGAAGGTCGTGAAAATTGGCATTCAAGATTCCACCTTGTATGCCCCAGCCATTATGGCTGCTTGACCAAAATTATATTTATACATTAATGTCATAAAATGTTCTATCTAAACAAGCTCATTTGATTGATATAAAAAATACATTTTTGAGATTTATTATGATGTAAATTTATGTAACTCTAAGAAAACCACACGATAGTATCGCAATAGCTATCGAGGATGCGATGAAATCGAGTTACATTAATTATAAGCGTCAGAAAAGGCTGTCTTTGAATGCCAGCAAATTATGGGCAAACACATGAAGTGTCTTTGAATATATTTCCAAAGATATCATCTCTATGTTGAAGCCCTAAAGGTATCTCTAGAAAATATTCCTAAGAGGTATTCCTGTCATAGTAGAAAATTTAATTGATTTCAATCATCGAACACTAGTTGGCCAAGGCCATTCATTTGAAGTTCAGAAAATGCCAATAGAGCAAATGTAGTCAAGTATATTGTCAAATTTAAGATAAGATATTTAGAGTACTTATAAATTTAATACGGCTTGAACGATTTGAACATTGTGCGCTTGGTGGGTGGACGCGTATGTGTGTGTTAGTTGTCTACCGCGCCATCGTACATTATATTGAAACGTTCTCGAATCGCCTCGACGCTGTCACAGCCATTGATCACATCGGCCACGTGCTGGGTGCCCGCCTGTAGAAGGCTCTCGATGTTCAGATAGTCGGCCGCAATGATCAGCTCGAAGATGGTCGAGTCATTGGCATTCGATTCGGTGAGCAAGTTCTGGAATATGGCGCGCTCCTGCAGCAACTTGTCCTTCGGCTCCAATGGCTTTTCGATGGTCTGCATGGCATGGCACCAGTTGAGCACCAGCCGGAATATTTCGGAGCTAACTCTGTCCAATGGCATGATATTGGCATCATCATCATCGCTGCGTTCCAGTCCCACACGCTCCGACTGCAGCCAGCTGTGCGTCATTCCCATTTGCTGGGCCACCTCGAGGCTCACATGGAAGACGAAGCCATCGCTCGTCCGCATTTGCAGTGTTTCCGATGGGTGCGACATACTGGCGAGGTAGCTCCTTTGTTCCTGCTTGAATTTCGTTCCTTTGTCCGTTGCTGTTGAAAAGTTCTTATATTTTATTTTTCGACTAGAACACAGAGAACACCGCCTGCTCAGGTTGACAACAAGCTTTCAACTATGCATAATTTAGTTGTCCGCCCGGAAGTAGGCAACGGAAATGGTGAGTCGAAACTGTGGCCTAACTTGTGGATGATGCCTTGAAGTGAACTGAACGCTCGTGGACATTCCATTGAATTCATTCATAAATTCCGTCGCGTTCTGCTGCCGCTGCCACTTCACGTGCCAACGGAGCGGAGCAGAGCAAGTGCGTCTTTGTATCTCGGCAAATGTATCTGCGTACGTGCCTGACTCTCTGGACAGCAATTCAGACGCAAGACACAGTCGCTCGACGCTCAGCCTCAGGTGAGGCAGGCACAACAGCAGCAGCAGCAGCAACAGCAACGACAACAACACGACACCAATCACAATCATCATAAGGCCGTCGCCATCGCAGTTGATTATGATGAGCTCTGCTCGTTGAGTTGTTGTTGTTGCTGTTGCGTTGAAGTGTTTGCTGCTTGGCTCCATCTACCCATCTTGCCATCTCCCATCTTTCAGCTGGAACTTCATCTGTCTGTTTTGGCTGCTTTCCTTTGCGAAAGTTTATCATTGCGGCAAGATTCTAACATTTTTGTGTGCATTCCACTTTGGTGCGTTTGTCGGATTTCTCAAGAGTTTGCCTTTTGCCACGCTCATAAAACGTACTCGAACTCATTAAAACGCGCACTCTGATAACCGAAATGGCCAACTTGGCCGCTCGAATGATGGGACGATGCGGACGGAACGAGTTGGCGACGTGTTTTGCATGTGCGTTCTTAAAGCCTGCTGATTTATTTGATGGCCGTTTGTTGCTGTTGCTCGGCGGCTGGCGAGGCACGTTGCACAGGCTCTGAGCGCTTGAGCGAAATGGGGCAAGTAGGCAACAATTTCGAGACTTGCAAAATGTGGCCAGTTAATTAGCCAAGTTCATGTGGGAAAAGTTGTCCCAGCGCACACAGTTACCCAAAGAGCTGCCACAAATTTGCCTATGAAGTTAGCCTGGCTAGAGGGACAGAGAGGGAGAGAGAGAAAAGTTAAAAGACTTGACAAAAAGTTGCAAAAGAAAATTTATATTTTTATTATATATTGAGCAATATGCATTATAAAATATCTGTTTATTTGTGGACTGTAATTTAAAGTCCTTGATCTTAGACATTTAAAGAGTACAATCAAGCAGTTCTTTGTTGAGCTTTTATAGATAATACAGATCAGAAAAATTGTAGCTAATTTAAAATATTTTTGAAGGTTTATAAATTAGCTGCATTCGATGCCATATGCCATGTCAGCTGAAAGAGGCTGGTCTGAAGAGAGACATAAGTGAATCAGTGATAACTCTGTGATGAAAAAATATTTCTTAAAAATCTTAAATGAAATTTTAGAGCCGAATATTTATAGCATAAAAGAAAATTTATATTTTTATTATATATTGTGCAATATGCATTATAAAATATCTATCTAATGTGTGGACTGTTATTTAATGACCTTGAATTTGCTGCATTCGAAAGAGGCTGGTCTGAAGAGAGACATAAGTGAGCCATAAATACATTCAGCGATGTGATAAAAAAATATTTCTTAAAAATTTTAAATGATATTTTAGAGTTGAATATTTATAGTTTTAGAAACAATAACTTTTTTATATAAAAAAATTGTGCTCATGTTATATTAACTCAAATGTAACCAATGCAAACTGCTCCTAATGCCAAACATTGTTTCAGAACTTGAATTTTTTACTTAGAAGTTAAGCAAACATAAGATTGGGGCAGTGGAAAATTGTGTTACTGCAGTTGATAGTGTGTACCAAGTTTAAGGTCTTTAACTAATTTTTTCTAATGCCAATTGGCAATGGAAAGAGGTCTGGAAAGCCTGACGAACGAGAGGAAAATAAAAGGTTTGCAATTATGTGAGTTATTGTCTGCCTAGTTCTATTTCAGATTGGCTTCACATTGACATCTTTAGTTAAAGGCAGCTTGCAACTCGTATTGTCTGCATACAGCTGAAGCCTAGAGTTTTAGGTATAAATATCCTGACAAGCCAGCTTATATTTGCTAGTTAGTATTTCAGCTGCAAGCTATTGCAATATCCTGACATGCCAGGACATATTTTCAAGTTAGCATTTCATTTAGCTACAGCTTGAGTCTAGCAGTGACTTTTGCTGCAGTACAGTGCCGTCCGTGGCATTAGGTCAGGCGAAGATCTGTTGCTGTTGTTGTTGCTGCTGTTAGCTGCCAACGTTTTGAGAAAAGCAAAAGAAAAATTTGCATTTGGCCCGATCGCAGTTCGCGACTTGTCGTTTTGCTGGCGGGATTTCTTTATGACCCGAGCTGGCAGTGGCGCGGAGTTTTATTTCAGCTATGGCCTTTGTTTGCCAGCAAGTTTATTTGATTCTATTTTCATTTTATTTGAATTGTGGTGCGCTTTTATGGCCTGTGCATGAGCCTGGCTGAGATTTGTTTTGTGAAAGTTACAGCAAAAGACGCTATCGATGAGCCCCCGAGAAGTCGGCAGAGTCTCAGCCGTGGCAGCCTGGCTCTGTCCATGGCTGTTGGCTCTTTACCATTTTTTTTTTTTCGTTTTCGGTTGGTGATTGTAAAACAATAAAAGCAACACCTGACTGCCGTTTGCACAGCCTCACAATGGCGTTGATGGCGACGCGGATGCGGACGTCGTTGTTGGTGGGCCTTCGCTACCCTCCCAACGCCAACTGTTGCTGCTGCAGTTGGCGATCTTATCAGCATTTTTTGTTTTGCTCCATGGCCAAAAATGGTCAAAGACAAAAACATGCTTATTGTTTGGTAGATTTGGTGACGCGCTCTAAACATTTCAATTCGCGTTTTGCGTTCTGTGCGTTGTCCATAACCAACAACAGGCACAGCCGCAGCCGCAGCCGCAGCAACAGCAAACAAATTGCTGGCTGATTGCTGTTGATGGGAGAGGTCGGAACAGCGGACAGCAGACAGCGTATTGCGGGCACTCGAATCGAAATCTAAATCTAAATAAATAAAAATCGTGCGCTGTTTGGTTTTTTTTTGCTTTTGCTCTTAAGTGAAAGGCAGCGGCGAGATCAGCGTCTTGGCCAAAGTATCTCAATGCGCTGCAAATTTAATCAATTGATGAGGCAGCTTGCAACTTGCAACCTGCTGCCTGCTGCCTGCTGCTGACTGCCTCCTGTTGCACTTGTTGTCGTTGCTTTTATTGTTGTTGTTATTGTGTGTTGCCTGTGATGGCAATTTGGATTTTGTGGCTAACACAAACCTGACCAGAAAGACATTTACATTCTACAGTTAAGTGTTGTTGCTGCTGTGCAAGTGTCGCAACAACTACAACAACAACAGCAACTTTACACGCTAGAAACCGTGACTTTAATTTTCTTTAGTTTCCCCTGCCGCGCTCAGCTTCTCCTTTGATTTGTTTCTCCTTTTTGATATTTTTTTTTTGTTTTTTTATATAATTTCAATTTGATTTTTCCATTTGGACTTTTCATTAAATCACCTCACAATGTCGCCAATTTAGCCCCTCTCGTTTCTCTCGTTACCCTCGCTGGCTTTGTCTTGCTTTTAATTTGTAATTACTTGCACATTTTACTTTCGTTTGTGCCATTTGATTTATGGCCCCGCAAATTGTGGTCGCCAAGTCGAAAACTTGGCCAAAACGTGGCAACTGGCAATTGGAATCGTGAGTCGAGCACAAATGTTGCAAGAATTAAGAAAGTTTTTCAGTTTTTTCCTGCCTGGTTATTAGTCGCATACGTAATACACAGCCTAATAGATAGGCTGCAAAGGTATTTTCCACTGAATGCAACTAGATATAACTCTATTCACGTACAGTCGATTTCCTGCTGTTTGCATTCAGTTGATGCCAGTGTCGACAATAGAAATAACACCTTTCTTTGCGATTCTCACTTGATAATTGTTTAAATATCTTACTTTCTCTTTCTTTGGCTGCCTCGCTCACTCTCTCTGTCTTTTTCACTGTCTCTCTCTCTCTCGCTCCATCTCTCTGTTCCTGAGACTCGCTCTCCCTTGCTCTCTATCTCTCTTAGCATATCTGTCTTTTTATGCCCCTATTTATCTTTATTTCTATCTAACTCTGACTCAGTTTCTATCTCATTTTATTTATCTCTCTGTATCCTTTGTTCTTTCGCTACGTTTCTCTTTCTCAGAATTTCTCTCATCAATTTGTTTCTCTTTCTCAGAATTTCTGTCTCTCTACTCTTTTGTCTTATACGCTCTCTTTCTCCAGTGAATTGAAATGAGCCAACTTTATCTTTCTCATTTTTACTCGCTCTCTCTTTCCCTCTCTCTCTCTGCTCATCTATCGTATACGCTATCTCTCACTCTTACTGGTTCTCTTCCTCGTTCTTTCATTCTCTCTCTTTTTCACCCTTCATTTATCTCTAGCTTCCATTCTCTCCTCCTCTGTTTCTCTTTTGTCTCTATTTCTCTTTAGTCATTGCTGCTTCTTTTTTCTTCATGTCTTAATCATTCTCCTTTCCTTGCTCTCTGACTCTTTCTGACTCTGACTCTCTTTTCCTACTATTATTTGCCTTCAATGGACAGTCTCTGCCTCTTTATACTTTCTTTACTTCTTTCTCATTGAATTTCGTTTAAAGCTCATCCTCTTCTGAGATGTCAGCATCCTCCAGCAACTATTTTCTCTTTCTAACATATCATATCCGGCTTAGACTTCGGCTGTTAGCCACGGCTCTTCCTGTAAATAAGCTCATTAGCCTTATTGCAATGTTGCCATTGTCATCGTCGCTGCACTTGACACTTGGCGCTGACATGTTGTTGTCGTTGCACGCAACAACAGCAACAGCAACAGCAGCAGCAGCAGCCACAACACCCACTCACAATCGCAGTTGCCGTTGCAACAATTTCAAATAGCTTCCACTTACTGCAACTGCA